CAAGCGCATGGAATCTATTCCTTCCTATTCATGATCCTTCCCAAGAAGTGGCGGATCGCAGGACGCCCCTCTTTGCCCCGTTGCAGGCCCTCCAGGGCAGCAAGGCCGCAGGAGCCACACGACAGGTGTCCCGGGAACGGTCCGTCAACGACACAGGATCCAAAGTTCATCCACTCAGCGCTCATAAACCCATTCTCAGTTTCAAAAACATAAAGCATTAAGACAACATTGCTCTAAAACATTTTTTTTTCCTGGCACCAGGACCATGACCGCCAGGTTCCCAAACGTGGCTACACTCTTGAATTCATTGCCTTTTTTTTTTTTTTTTCCTATTTGTTATCAGTTTTAGCAATGAGATTCGGGTAGCAACTGCACAATAACCCCATCCTGGATCAATATTAATGGAGAAATGGGTGCAAAGTTGTGTGTTTCTTCCCACTGAGACCTGGACGTGCACTACTTAGAAATATAGTAAGCAGTTATTTTGTCATCCATAAAAAAAACGTAAAAGATAAATATTATTGCTGAACCCGAACGAGCAGCTTCCAGATCCTGGCTGCACTTCTGAATTCATTCTTTTTTTCCCCCATTCGTAGGCTGGTTATCAATATTAATGAAGAAACGGGTGAAAACCTGTATATTTTTTGCCACTGAGACCTGGTGGGGACTACTGACAAATATGTAGTAAGTAGTTGCTTTGTCACCCATTAAAAAAACTTAAAAGATAAATATTATTGCTAAACCCAAATAAGCAGCTTCCAAATCCTGGCCGCACTCCTGAATTCATTCTTTTTGCCCCCGTTTGTATGTTGGTTATCAATATTAACAAAGAAATGGTAAAAAGTTTATTTTTTCCCACTGAAACCCATGTCTGCACTGCTTAGAAATGCACAGTATTTTGTCATCTACCAAAAAAAAAAAAAAAAAAAAAACTTAAAAGAGAAATGTTATTGCTACACCCAAATAAGCAGCTTACAAAACGTGGCCACACTCCTGAATTCATTCTTTTTCTCCCCATTCGTATGCTGGTTATCAATATTAATGAAGAAATGGGTCCAAAGTTGTATATTTCTTCCCACTGAGACCCGAGTGTGCACTTCTTGGAAATATATAGCAAGTAGTTACTTTGTCATCCATAAAAAAAAAACTTAATAGAGAAATATTGCTAAACCCAAATAAGCAGCTCCCAAATCCTGGCTGTACTCCTGAATTCATTCTTTTTTCTCCCAATTGTATGTTGGTTATCAATATTAATAAAAAAATGGGTGAAAAGTTGTTTATTTTTTCCCACCGAAACCTATGTCTGCGCTACTTAGAAATATATAGTGAGTGGTTATTGTGTCATCCATTAAAAAAAAAAAACTTAGAACAGAAATATTATTGTTAAACCCAAATAAGCAGCTTAAAAAAAGTGGCCACACTATTGAATTCATTCTTTTTTTCCCCCCCATTTGTATGCTGGTTATCAACATTAATGAAGAAATGGGTGCGAACTTGTCTATTTTTTCCAGTAAAACCTGCGTGTGCACTACTTGGAGATACTTCGTATTTTGTCACCCTCAAATAAAAAGTTACAAGAGAAATATTATTGTTAAACGTGAATAATCAGCTTCCAAATTGGGGCCACCCTCCTGAATTCCATCTTTTCCCCCCATTCCTATGCTGGTTATCCATATTAATGAAGAAATCGGTGCAACGTCGTTTATTTTGTCCCACTGAGGCCTGGGCGTGCACACTTAGAAATGTATCGTGAGTGGTTGTTTGTGTCCCATTAAAAAAGCCACTTAACAGAGAGACATTGTTGCTAAACCCGAATAAGCAGCTGACAACAGAGACACAATGTAAAACTTTGGGGAGAGGCCCCGGATGTGAGATTTTGTTTACACGCGCACGCCCCTTGCACACGGCCGTGGCCTGGAGACCATCGCCGATTTTCTGGTGATCCCGGGCAAGCTACATAACCGCGTGGGTGGCCTCACGTTCCCGCTCCGTGTCCTCGGGATCACGAGCGTACCCCGGTTGCCGTGAGGACAGCAGGCCGCCGTGCGAAGCACACCCTTTCCGCCTCACGTCCTGGACGCGAGGGCCTCGCTCTGAAATATGAGGTGCCGTGGTTATTTATGGGAAACCGGGCTTTGTTTTTTAGGGTTTTTTTTTTTGGTTATAATTTTATTTCTTTGGCAGTGGTGCAAGCCACCGTGTGTCTGCTTGCCCATTAGAAAATGAGGAAGGTGAGAGATTGTACAGATATTTCTGTCTTGACACGCTGTTTAGGCTTTTCCCGGATCATCCTTCTGCGTGGATTCGGGCTTTATGTTACGGGACCCAAGATGGATTTTTAAGGGATGTTAAGTGTTTTTTGAAACGAATGAAATTTCCTTGTGTTTTTGTTTTTTAGGCACGAGATAACCCACAGGGTCAGCACGATATAGAGGCTCACCGGGGGGGGGGGGGGGGGTGGATCCGAATGAGCCCTGACGGCCGCGACGGGGAACCGGGCACTAATTTCACAGAAGCAGACAGAGGGCTGACGTGTGAAAGAAATGCGCCCCCGTCTCCGGCCCGGAAGCTCCGGGTGCAAATCCGTCATTGACCGGGGATGACCCTGCACTTCCCAGCCGTGTGACCTTGGCCAGGAAACCGCCTCCACCTGCCTTGGTTTCCGGAGCCGAGACGGGGATGTTTGCAACACGGTGGCCTCTTCCCAGGATGGTGACATAGACCCAGAGGGCCACCCCCTGCAAAGGGCGTTTGCAGACCCCAGAGGGGCTCTGTGGAATGTGAATTATTCTGATCCCTTTGGCCTGCAGGGCTCCGGTCGTATCCCGGGCTCCTCAGGGGTCCGTGTAGGGTGGGGACTCCCATTCCTGTAGCAGGAGCCTCCGGTACCACGTGTGCCTCTGCCATTTGAATTGTGCAGTGTTCTCAGGCAGTGATGACCCTGTCAGCTCATGTCCTCATGACTCTCACGTGGGGACATTTTGCTCAATAATCATTCACGGCGCCCCCTGTGCGGCCGGGGAGCCCCTCGTGGACGGGGACGCGTTCTCCGGGAAACCGAATCTGTTGCGATGGACATGGCGTGTGAGCAAAACCCTCCCGGGGAGGGGCAGGGTGCACGGGCCTCGGGAGTCACCGGATGTCAGCAGAGCGTCCACTCCTGCGTGTGCAGCAGGCGTCGCATCATTCGCCACGTGGACCGACCACCCGGCCACTGGAAAAATCCTGGAGGCTGCCACTTATATAATTTTTGACTATTTTCATTGTAACTGTGTTTTCTCGTCCCTCCGAGACGTGCCCTGGGAGTGACCCAGCTCCCCCTGCACCACACACACACACACACACACACACACACACAGACACACACACACACCACAGTTTCCTCTCGGGGAGGCTCACCCGAGACCCACGCCATGTCGTGCTGGTCGCCTTGCTTTCCCCGACTGACTAGCCCACAGGGTGTGTGTCTGTGTGCATGTGTGTGTGTGTGTTGGGTATAATTTTGGATCTCGATTCACGTGCTGTGCGTGGGATGCAGACGCGTGGAGCTCCGGTGGCCTTTCCTCCTCTGCGGGAGCCATTGCAAGGCCCCCGCCTTCTGGGAGGTGGTCCTCCAGCGTTTACGCTCCGCTTGCTGCCTAATTTCACCTGGTGCCTGGGGCACGGGGCTGCCTCCCAAACCTCTCACAGATATCTGTGCACCGTTACCACGGCGTTGTTTGGGACTGAGTTGGTGTTTGGAGAGTGGAGCTGGAGGGGTGTGTGTGTGTGTGGTGTGCGTGGGGTCCCCGGGGGGCATTTTGGGCTCGGGGCAGGGCCTTGTAGACGTGCACCCTGTATCTCGGAGGAGCTCTATCTGGGCAGCTCCCCTGAGTCCCCAAATAATGCATTAGGGGTGTGTGCGCAGGGGGCTCTGCCAACCTTTCTGCGCTTTCTCAAATCCCTTTCCTCATGTTGGAAATGGGCCTTCCAGCCTCTTCTTCCTCCTCCTCCTCCCCGGCGTCCTCCCGCACTGGATCCTGGAAACAAGCCCTCCCGTGTTGCAAAATCACTCAGCGTCTCCACACCCGCGGTAACTACAGGAGAAACACCACCACACTGGCGCCAGCCCCAATCCTACCCGCCCCACACACGCCGCATCAGACAGTCTGGTCCCCGCTTTGGGCTTCGCAAGGTTCCCGGGGACAAGGAGTCTGCGTTTTTCCGCTCTCCTTAACCCTCAAGCGGCTGGAAGTGGTGGAGAGGAAAAAGCATGAGGGGAATGCGTGGCACACGGCAGGCTTTGCAAGGTCCCCCTCCCCGGGGGCGTGTGGGGTGCAGGCAGCCCGTGCAGGAGAGGGGGACCCACACCCCCTGCCCGCCCTGATTCCCCGGGAAGGCACCCCAGTCTCTGCAGACGCATGCATCGGCAGCCGGTTTAAACGCGCTGTTTTTCCTCGCAGGTCCTCTGTGCACACCCGCGTTCCAAGGGAGGCATTTTTTTTTCTTTTTTCTCTCTCTCTCTAGCTAACAAGCTATTTATTTAAGTCACAAACTTGCTCGGGCGCGCTTGGTGGAGGGCGAAGCTTCGCGTTGGTCCCATTGGTGTCTGTCGTGTGTGTGTGTGGGGGGGGGGAGGCAGGGGTGCGGGGACTCCAAAGCAAGCCCCCTTCCTGAGCTGTGCACCCCCCTCGTGGGGGGCCTCCTCGGTGGGGCGCACCCACCTCCCCACCGATCTGTGCAGTGTTGTTTGCAATTGCAGCTCTCGCCGCGCAGGGCTGCCCGGGGTGGGGGGGAAACTGAGCGCCCGGGTCCCCGCGCCCTCGGGCGAGGCCCCGGCACCGGGCAGCGCGCGCGGCGCAGGTGTGGCCCCGCGGCTGGAGCGCCCGTGCGCCCTCGGACCCCAGGCGCGGGCGGCACCTGCCCGGGAGGGAGTCGGGGCGCAGCGCCCACCCGGGGCCGGTCCCGCAGCGCGCCCGGCGCCCCGGCGAAGTTGCGGCTCCCCGCCCGCGCGCACTCACCGGCTCTCCGCGCTCCGATCCTGAAGGTCACGGCCCGGCGGCGGCGCTGGAGGTGGCGGTGGCGGTGGTGGCGGAGCTGCAGGCGGCGGCGGGCGCGCGGCGGGGCCCGGGGCGGGGGGCGCGCGGCCCCCATGCCCGGCGCGGCGGCGGCCCTCGGGGCGGGGCGCCCTCAGCGCGGCGGGGCCCGGGCGCCGCGGGGCTCAGATGCCGTGGTCGCAGTCCACATCGCGGCAGATGTACCAGAGGATCACGTAGAGGATGAGCAGGATGGCGAAGATGAACAGAGCCACCAGGATCGCCTTGGTCACCGGCGAGATGAGCGACTGCATGGCCCCGGCGGGGCGCGCGGGCGGGCGGGGGGCGCGCGGGGGCGCGGGGCGCGGCGCTCACGACCCCCGAGCGCGCCCGGAGCCCCGCGCCGGCCCCGCGCCGCATCCGCAGTGCTCCGTGCCGGGGACGGGCGCCCGCGCTCGGCCGCGCTGCTGGCTCACCGGGCCCGGCGGCCGCGGGGCTGGGCGGGCGGCGCGGGGGGCGCGGGCGGCGGGCGGGCGGGGGCGGCGGCCATGGGCGAGGACGCGGGCGCGGGCGGGGAGCGGGAGGCGGCGCGCCCGACAAGTCCCCGCGAACTTGGGCGGCGGCGAGGCGGCGGGCGCGCGGTGACAGGTGGAAGCCCGGCCCCGCGGGGCGCAGCGCGCGGCCGAACGCGGGCGGCGGGGGGCGCGGGGGCGAGCGCAAGGCGGGGGTGGAGCGCTGCGGCTGCGGGGCTCCTGCGCGCGACCCCTGCGCCCCAGGCCGCCCCGGGGGGCGCATGGCAGGCTGCATGGGGGGCCCCCCGCGTCCGTCTCTGCGCGCCACCCACCCCTCCCGGGGGTCCCCTTCGGGCCCTTTTCCGGAGCCCCCTCCCCTGCCGCCGCCGCTGGCACGCTGCGCTGCGCTCAGACGAATGGCGAGGTTGGAGGGGGCTGCAGGGAAGGCGCCCCCTTCCTTCTTCTTCCTGGGGAGGGGGCTGCTGGATTGCGTCCAACCAGCTGCTTGGAGATGCGGCTGGAGAGCAGAGGGTGTCAGGAGCCGGGGGGAGGGGGAAAGGGGCGCCCTGTGCTGTGATGGACAGATGAAGACCCCAGCCGGGGATGCGGGGGGAGGGGGGCAGCCTTCTGAGGCTCCGTAGGAAGCCTCCTCCCCACGGTCGCAGGTGGCTCCCGTCCTGGGCCATGGACAGGAGAGCAGGGACCTTGCCCCCAGCTCCTTCTCACACTCACACTCACACACTCACACTCACACCTGTCCTGCAGGCTGGGCTGCATGTAGGGCTGATGCCTGGTGGGCCCGCTCCCAGGACCACGAGTCAACAGAACATGCTGAGGGACACCCCTCCCCAGCCCCCCACCCCCCGCCTCGCAAACGCAGAAGTCCTAGGAAAAGCAGGGGGTACCCACCCACCCAGCAGGGCAGCCTTAAGCCTCACTGTCCTGGATGCAGATGTGGCGCATTGGGGGTGCAGGATGTGGGGCCTAGGGGAGGACTCGGTGCCAGACCAGCAGCACATCAACCCTGGTGCCGCAGGGCACGGAGTTCAGGCCCAGCATGCTCTGGGTCCTGTCTCCACCACCCCCGACACCAGGGAGCAGCGGCTGGCCGGTCCACCGTGTGTGAGAGCAGTTGTCACGTGCACCTGCTGAGCAGCAGTCAGAGAGCCCCGCAGAAATGCAGGCGTGGACCCCATCCCCGGGTCCCCAGGGAGGTAGAAGGAGCAGGGGTGCACACTCTGTGCGTGAGCCCGACTCCCTGTAGGTACAGGCACCATGTGTGACGTTGAGAGCCTCGGAGAAGGAAGACATCACGTGGCCCAGGCGGACATGGTCTCCCCCTGAGCCCGCAGCTGGTACTGGGGGGCTGCATGGGTCCAGCGTGGGGACGTGTTCGTCAGGAGTGGCCTCCAGAGCGGCCCTGCCGGCTCCAGGCCTATCCTGCTGGCCGATGCTTGCACCCCAGGCAGGGCTGTCCCCCCAGGATGGCCTAGGAAGCAGGGCACCCCCCTCCCTGCCGGGGGCAAACGGGGAGCTCCACATGGGCGACACGCAGCAGCCGGGGCGGATCTAAGGGCTTGTGTTTGGCTCTGCAGGCTGTGGAAAGGGAGGCGGGCCGCAAGGGGAGGGCAGGAAGGATCCTTGCAAGACAAATGAGCCAGCTGCAGGACGTGTAGTCAGGGGGCTTTCAGTCCCACCTTTCTCTCTCTCTCTCTCTCTCTCTCTCTATATATATATATATATATATATATATATATATATATATATATATGCATCTCCCATCTAGATCCTGTATGTACATATGCATCTCCCATATAGTAGATCCCGTATATATATGCATCTCTAGTGAATATTTACATATTCATATATATATGCATCCCATATACATACATATGTATGCGTGTCCCATTCGATTCCATATATATGGCAGGTCCAGTGGACTGCTGGTATCACCATGAAGTGTCTGCCTCAATACTGTGCATTTTCTTTTTTCTTTATTTTTTTTTTTAGGATTTTATTTATTTATCCCTGAGAGAGCCAGAGAGAGAGGCAGAGACACAGGCAGAGGGAGAAGCAGGCTTCGCACGGGGACCCCGATGCAGGACTCGATCCCAGGGCCCCGGGGTCATGCCCTGAGCCAGAGGCAGGCATGCCAATTCGGTGGATTTTCTAGGAGCTCCGGCTTCTCCCTCTGCACACGAGCATTGCCAGCCTCCAGCTGTTCGTTGGTTGGAAGGCAAAGGCTGGTTGAGTGGAGACACCCCTTGGCCCAGGTGTCTCCGTCTCTCCCGCACACACAGAGCTCCTGCTCCTCAGGAGTACACTCAGGGAGCAGAGCCAGAGTCCCTGACGTGGTGCATTCCACCTGGTTCTGGGTGCAGAGAGCCTGCGGGGCGCCCACGACGGAGCCCGGAGGGACACAGCACGCGCAGGTGTGCAGGTGTGCAGGTGTGCAGGTGTGCAGGTGTGCAGTGCAGGCGGGCATCCCGGGGAAGGCGCCGCGCTGGCTCGCTTACCCCACAGGCCTTGTGTTCTAACAGAAGGGAACAGGAGCTGCACCGGCGGGCCGGATCGCGGTGCTGGCTCGCTGGCTCCTGGGTGGTCGTGGCCTGTGACCTGCGGGGCGTGCGCGCTGCCCTGGAGCTTTAGGGTGGAAGAGAATGCGGTGCCTGCCCGACGTGAGGCGGGCCTTTGGATGGCGCTGGGAGCTCTCGTCTCGTTGGGATGTGAGTGCGTGTGCACGCCGCGGGGCTGGCTAGGTATGGACAGGTGGGAGTCAGAAGTGTTTGCAGAACACCAGGCAGCAGGTGACGCATGGAGAGCCGTAGATGCCCAGGGATGCATGGACGGGGGGAGCCAGGCCTGTTCCTTCGGGTGCAAGGAAGTGGGCGGGTGTCGGAGGTCCTGCAAGCTGACCCAAGCACGTGTCTTTACCTAACACAGGAAGGCAGACCAGCCTAGCAGGTTGGTGTTGACCTCCGAGCACGGTTGCACATACAGACTCGCGGGTGGGGACGTGGCTGGGCGTGGGGCACGCGGTGTGGACCGACCCCAGGCGGACGGCCGTGTGTGGGGCCACCTGCGTGGTGTCCGGGCCGCGTTCAAGGCCGCGTTCAAGGCCTCGGGCGAACCCTGCACAGCGCTGGGCCGGGTCCAGCGTGTTACAGAGCAGCTTCCACAGCGCTCCCGAGCGTTTCTGGACAGCGTCTTCTCTGGCTCTTGCCTCAGTGGCCTCGAGTAATCCAATAATAACTGCTCCTCCCCGAGCTTCCCTTTGAACGCAAAAATGTGTTGCTTTTTTTTTTTTTTTTTTTTTTTTTAATCATAGGAAGCTTGGCCAAGTTCTGCTCATCGGTTGCTTTTTTTTTTTTTTTTTTTTTTCCTTTTGAGAACGGCCGATCTCGGGGCTCTCGTCTCCCCGGGGTCTTCACGCCCAGTCAGCCCCCTTGCGACTCGGGGAGGCCGTGGTTCCAGCTCCGGCTGCAGGCATCATTTGCAAAACACCGGGATTTACGAACCTCCGGTTTGTAGGCGGCTGGTTAGCGTGTAGATACGGGCGGTCTGAGGAGGTTGAAATCAGGGTTATTTTTATTCTTGGTCGATGCCCGAGTGACGATGACGGTGGTGACGATGACGATGACTGGTTATGCGAAGTCTCCGTGCGGGCTCAGGTGCACACGGATGTGGTATTTCCGGGCGACGCACAAAGCAAATGGTGAAAACCAACCGAAAGGCCAGGAGGGCAAGCCGCTTGTTTGCTCCAAGCGAAGGTTTTACGGACAGGCTCTCGGGGGACTTCAACCCACACGGTTTAGGTTGGTTCGTCGCATTTTTGTCTGCGGCCGGATGCACCTGACACTAGAAGGATTTGCACGTAAAGGGAAGCGGAGGTAGCCCGTCGGCCGTGTAGGTCGGGCTCATTCACACAAGGAGACGTCCCTCACCTTCTCGGGATCACCGCTGTGTCCCCAAACGCACATCCGTGACACCCACCGCATCATCACGGGAGTAATATGCTCATGGAGCTCAGGCCACCTTCAGAGTTCAGTGTACGCGTGTATTTTTGTGCTTCATCCCAGCAGCGATGGGTTGAGAGCGGACTACAAACACCACAGGAAAGGGCGTTTTTAATCATTTAAAAAATGACATACGAGATGTTGGCAGGTTGGATTTCACTAAGGCGTCAAAAATAAAATATTAAAAAATAAAACAAAATTTCAAAAGAGTCTATATAGCACCAGACCTTTTGTGTAATGAAAAAGACGAAATAATATGTACACTCGTTTGCTTATTTTTGCAAAAGGAAACCCAAGTTTTGGAATCAGGCTGGCATCTCTTTATGTCTCTTCCCCTCCCCCCCCCCCCCCCGGCCCAGTTTTTGTTAAGGGAGCGATGGGTTCTTGAAAATAAGCTCGTGTTGGTGCACGTCTTGGATGCGAGGGGCCCTTTCCGATTTGGGAGGGATGAGTCATCCTGACCTACCTCTCTGTGCCGCTTGGGGGAATCCAGAAAGCACGGCGGTTGCGTCCAATCCTGGGAAGATGCACCTTTACCCTCGACTCCGTCCCCGGAGCACCCAGCAGAGCGTGATGCTTGGACGCCAGGCATCCTACACGCGACTCATTGGGTTCATGGTCTCTATTTTTTTTATGTTTTTTTTTTAAAGATTTTTATTTATTTGAAAGAGACAGAGGAGGAGGAGGAGGAGAGGGAGACGGAGAAGCAGACTCTGTGCTGAGCGGAGCTCCCTCCCAGGACCCAGAGGTCATGGCCTGAGTCGAAATCAAGAGTCGGAAAGCTCA